TCAATGAGACCATATAATGCTTCTTCGTCATCGTCTTCTTCTTTCTCCTCCTGCGTTCTCTCAGCCTCGGCGATGCCCACAGTTCGTTCGTATTTACTGCGATACACAGATTCATATTCGTTCTCAACAAGGCGCTTGGCCTGCTCGATATCACCGTCGATCATCACAATGTGTTCCTTAGCTCGAGGATCAAGAACGGCAGCAATCCTTGCCTCGCGAGTCTTCACCAACGAAAGGTACTCATCCAACTTTGTTTTAAAGGCACGTGCAAAGTCCCTAGTGTACCACGACTCGGCATTCTGCATTATCTTTGACGCATGCTTCGAGATCAAATGGAAGACAACAAGTGTTACACCGAATGTGGGGTAATTTTTTCCAGACATCATAGTAGTTGCTGCTTTGATCGGCTTCAAGAACGCCGTAAACTCGGTCAAGTAACTCCACGTAGTCTCCGAAATGGGGGAGGCAAGACGATGTGTATGACCAATTGACAAGTCTCTGTATCCTTCATGGCGCTCGCGGATTCTACGCAGCAGTTCTTCGATCGCCTTTTGTAATGCACGAGCTGAAGCCAGCATAGTCAAAGTGCTGTTCCATCTGGTGACGCAATCGAGTTCTGGAGAAACATACTTGATACTAACAGCGGCACACACTCCTTTGCAAAGCTTCTAGCAAAGACGGTGAGTCCGATATCTTCTTCAAAATGTCGCGAATACTTCCAACGCTATCATCCATTAAGGGGCACGCTTCCATTCCTTTCTCTCACAGCAAGTTGAAGCACATGAGCGAGACAACGAACTTGTATCACCTTCAGCTGAGAACTTCTGCCTTCCTCACCAGCTATATGTACTCCCGTCGTGGTAGAAGCCGCGGTTGTTTGTTCGTTGGTAAACACCTCGTCAGCAAGTGTCTCGTTAATTTTTCTGACCATGGTCCCATTGTTAGTCGCATTATCTGCAGTAATTGCCCACAGCTTCGAGATAAGAGATTCATCCATTGCCCTCAGTGTATCCATTAAATGATCGGCAAGCCGGACGCCACTATGAGGATACTCCACCCGTGTGAATCCGACCACTACGGACTTGATAGCCCATTCGTCATTGATCCAGTGTAACGTCACGACCATATACCCTTTTTGAGCCGCCGACGTCCACATGTCGGTTGTGGCAGACACACGACACGACGCAATTTCTTGGAGCATTGTGTGCCGGGCCAGTTCCTTTTCACATGTCCAGCGTTGTATGACCTTCTTGCGCACCGTTTTACGAGTTGGAGGCGTGTAAATCGGCTTCAAGAATCTTACAAAATGATCGAAACGCTTTCTTTTTCCACCAAATTAAACGGAAGTGAGTTTCATCACGATCAAGTCCACAAGCTGATCATCGGCCGCAGCTTTGTCCAAAAGTGCGCTGCTTTACAAAACGATTCAAATCAAACGCAGTAACTTTCGTTTGCTTGAAATCCATTGCAGCACTGAAGC